TCTAAATTTCATTGAACATTTTTTATACAGATTGACATTCTCGTAGAAGACTCTATTTTTGCGAAGACTCATTAAAATAAAGCAAAAAAAAAAAAAAAGAAAAAAGTAAAGTAAAAGAATTCTTGACAATAAGTGAGAAAGTTTTACGACAACGACAATAGAAGCATAGGAAAGGAAGAAGAAGTAACGAGGTAAAGAATCAATTATAATAAAACAATAAAACTCCTTTTTTTTAAAGCAAGTTTTTGCTGTAGTTATAACTCTGTAAACCCGTTGATCTCAGAAGGTTTCGAATTTTTAAGAAGCACATCTCAGACACTAACAGTGCTTTTAGTTCTTGACTATAAGCTTGCAAAGTTTTTCAACTACTTTAAAGTCTTGCCTTTATTGTAATTGAGATAAACAACAATTTCTAAAAATTTAATTTAGAATGTAAAACGTATTATAACATTTCAAAAGTGGTTCATTTTATTGCAAAAAGGATCATCAAAGAACTGTTTAATCTGCTGTACCATCAACTCCTCTCCTTACATGAATAAGAAAGAGAAAAATATATTGTGTGCTTCATAATTGGTACCATGTAGTTTCAGCTCATATTACTGTTTTGGTTAAAAAGTAACAAAATATAAGAGTCAAAAATTCAGTTCTGAAAACCTCATTCTTTTAATTAGAGCATTAGAAGAGCAATTTTATTACTTTTTTTTTCTCTACTAAAACGTCACATGGTTTAGCTTCCTAATTAAATAAAACTTAGCGGAGACCTATTATTAAAGCCAATATAAGTTCTCCCTGCTCGGCTTTGGAAAAACCAAAAAAAAAATTGACGAGAAGGAGCAGATATGTAACTGAACATATTGTAGACTTAAACAAACAGTAAAACAATAATATATTGAAAATTTTAAGACAAATTTTGACATATTTTTTAAACTTATATTATTGTTTAAAAAAACTTAAAGAACTTACCAGTTAACGGGAAAAAAATGGAAAATCCAGCAGCATTAATATTGTTTGATCCAGTCAGTTGAACCGAATAACTAATAACAAATGAAGATAGAAGTAAAATTCCTATCATAAACCCAAGAACTGGTCTACTCTAAAACATTGAGGTTTTTGTAAGCTAAAAGTTTGAATATTCTCAGGAAAAAAACTTGATTATTCTTTATCATTTAGTAATTGATATACTCATTAAACAAGCAGTTTCACAAATACTACAATAGAAACCAGAATTTTTGTGGGCAAAATCTAGCAAAGTATTTGAGTTTTCTTTTTGTCAAATCTCATCGATAAATTAAGAAAAGACAGCAAATTCTTACATGATAAGAATTTCTTCCAAAGCCAAGTGCACAGCAAAGTATCACTAACAAGACAGCCGAAAAAATCAATGCTGTATGAATTTGTTTATAGGAAGCTGCTACGTCGTGCATGAATTCTTTGTTTGACCACCAGAAGACATCAGCACTGGCATTCTTCGGCGCTTCAATTGCAGCCCTCATCACCTTAAGATATTAAATCTTATTTCCCAGTTGCTATTATTAAACCAGCAGCAAGAGTCAAAATAATTATGAAAATATAGCCAAAAAGTATAAACTTTATAGTATAAAAATTCTATAGCACAACTAACAATATTATGAAACTGTCTATCCCAGCTGTTGAGTATTATTTCTTTCAGATTGGTTTTCAGCTGGAAAGTAAGCAGTAATGCTCGTGCATGCGAAATTGCACCATCAACGTCCACTTCAACACCTGAAATTCAAATTTTAATAATTTCTCTCTGACATTTGCGTATATGTGTAAAGAAAGTAAACTGAAATACTAATTAATAAGCAGGTGAAAAAAATGAAAAAAATTTTTTTTTTTTTTAAGCGATAATATTTAGAACTTTAGGTAGCAAAGTTTAATTAAGAAAATTTAGTTTACCTCATTGAACTGTTTGTAAATTCTAGTTTATTTATTACTTAGATTAGTTTATCTACAGTGACGCAAAAAATGAAAAAAAA